CACACGAACCGAGTAGGAACGAGATCAGTATATATGACTAAATGAGTAACAATATCGAGAGAAGGAAATAGAATGAGCAATTACTCAGCAGCGTGATAGCTGCAACAACGACCGTTGTTTACTGTATTTAACCTCAAGGGCGACCTGGCTCCTACTGAGTGCAGCATAGTAGTGATGATGCAATAACTCGAAGATTAACGAGAAATGCCAACACTGGGTCGACGACTTGCTCCGGCTCGAAATTTTCCAATGAAAATACCAAGCCTGTCATTGAAACAATGCTATGAGAGCAAACTTCATCCAGTTCGACAACTCACCAGAGCTAGTATAAGATCTTCGTTATCACATTTACTTCTGCTGTTTTCTCTGTTTCTTAGCTGCCTGCTTCCTGAACTCCTCAGACATATGGAATTCCTCCATAGCATCCAGCAGGCCAACATCACCAGTAGGTGTAGGCCTGATAATATCACCGTTATTCCAAAAGGCTACTCAAATCTAAAGCCACCTACCGAGCCGCCGCCTTAGCCAGGCCAATACTAAGCCCCTTCAATGGGGAGTTGGCGCAGATAATACCAACACCAGCGGCCATTACGACAATCCAGAATGGGATGAAGCAAAGGACGACGCCGGCCACCCACAATGCATAGCAAATGGGCTTCGACAGCTTATGTCTGAGACGAAACTGAATGGTGCTGAATAGAGAGTGTGCTCACCTCCAGAGAATGATCTCTCTCGTTTCTGTGACGATATCAGCGAGTTGCCTTACAAGAGGCTGGAAGCCGGCTGCTAGGTCCTTCACCCAACCAGGAGAGAGTCTAGTGAAAGTCTTAATGAGACCATTGAATGACTGCTCTTGAGGTTCGTTGCCTAAGAATAAAACAATCGACTGGACGAACCTCCCCAAGTGAAAAATACTAAATAATCATCAACGGAAAGTCCTAATTCCTATACAGTGAAATAAAAAGGGACTCTGCGAAATACGTACAAACTTTCGAACGGTAGTAGTTGACAGACTCCATCATTACTGTCGTCTTTATCATCATCGGAGTCCTCCAATATCAGCTTCCCCGATGCATCGATTGTCGAGGAAAGTGTCTTATTCTGCATGAAGCGATCATAGCCCTTGAGCACTTTGTTACGGATCATGGCAACTGCCAGAGCCCAACAGCGAACGCTGGCCAGTAGGCCGCGTAGTAACTGATGGAAAAGCTGTAAAACAGCAAGCGAAAATTCTTACCTTGCATATATGAATCCTACGAGAACTATCGTGGAGAGAAGCCAGTTCTCCCACATTAATATTGGCAGAACATGATCCTTCAACACTGGGCTGAAGAGTGTCAAACCACAACACTTGTGCCATGAACCTGATCGACGGACGACAAGAGGCCATATAATTGACAACAGGAAAGTTGCATAAACTGTCTTACATGCCAGGGCCATAAAGTGCGTTGATGTCGAACTTCGGCTTGGGTTTAGGTCTCGGTACCATGGCCTCTTGCACAAAGGCAATCCTCTCAGAGGAAGGTGTATACATAATCATCAACTCTAAATGGATAGCACCAGCGGGTTTGCCTGAGAGTCGGAGGAAATCAACGCGAAAAGAATAAAAATTTGATACTACCATCCTCCCCAACCAAGGGGAGCCAGCCGTTAGCCGGCTCGCCAGGGATGAGGTTAGTGAGATCTATGTAGGCTGTACCCAAGAGATCATCATCAGAAGCCATATCGTAATCAAACCTACCGTAAATCGCTCAACTCTCTAGTGGTCTATGGACAATAGTCTTACACTTGTACTTCCATCTTCTGGCAGGGGACATCCACCACCATAGTGGTACACTCAAAGTTCCACACTGGAGATAGAGTCTGCTTACATATCTTGGTCTTCCTGGTCACCTAAGGGGGGACACTAATAGTTGTATAAGGCGATACGATCCTACATTGTCTTCCAGCAGGGTAAGGACCGTGTAAGGATCGGAGGAGTTGGAGCTGATGACGTTGATGTCAGCAGCTGGAAGACCAGAGGCTTCGATGACCTTCACGTTCAAGAGGGCGTACAGATCCCAGCCGAATTTCACTGATAGGAAATCGTGCATACTTTGTGACAAGAAGGCGCTTACTTGTGGTATCATTCATGTCGAGCATTCCCCCCTGATTGGCATCGAAGGTCGACCCGACTCTCAGCATGTTGCCGATCTTACTGTTCTGAGCAGCCGCCTTACGGGCCTCTTCAACCCGCTTCTTCCTGGCCTCTTCGGCCGCAGAATCTGATAGAAAAACCGTGAAGAGACCGTTATAAAATTTCCTCAATAAAACTCACCAAGTCCCTCAGCCTCTTGAGGCGTACTAGCCGTTGTTGTCTGCGGTGAGCCTCCTTGACGTTGTCCAGTAGTAGTAGGGGAAGTAGCAGCAACTGGCCTGTTCGCTGTGTTCTTCTGTGGGCTGGTAGCTTGGTCGGGCAAGAGGCCACAGCTGAGATTAGATAGCCACGTGGGTACTGTCATTAGGTATGAAATAATAATAACAACAATAACCCGATCTTCAAACACTGTTTTTCTTACCATCTTTTGCACTTCTTAGTGCCGATCAATTTGCCCGAGGCTAGACAGTCCTTACAGACCTCCGTTTCGCACAGTTTACACGTATAGGACCTACAGCTTCCTCAACGATCACCATTGTTCATCACAAAACCGCGTACTTCCCTTCGATTGGCTTCCCACAATTAGAGCATATCGTTTCCGACATTATTTCGTATAAGTAAACTTAATATAAAACTCAATAGGAGCTCCTATGGCCTCGTCTCCACACCGACACAATAGAAATCTAGCGCCACGCCCGCCGTAGTCCGCCTCGCTGTATTGCCGACTAGTGAAAAAATTTCGGAATGTAAAATTTTCAAGGATTTTCCTTTGCTCGTGGGGGAAGCGGTTCGAGGATTCGAAAAGTGTCTCGGAATCTCAGGTAATATTAATATCCTAACAGTCTTCGAGTTAGAATCTTCTAGCTTTAGCGGTGCGATGAGAGATTCTGGCCACTCACCACAGTTTGTCTAATATCGCCTTAGTCGACGGAATCGCGCACGCCCTGGCTTCCGGAAAAATTAGCGAATTGATTCACCAATATGTTCCGTTAGAACGTTAACATCGTCGTCGAGACAGCTCGTTCCGTATCTAGTCCGAGTACAGGAACTAGAATAGTCAATGTTTGCACCTCTTATCGGGGTCAGGTTGAAGGGCTTTTCGGCCGGCTTGGAGGTAATCCCCCTACTCGGCAGTCGACACGCATAGGGTGAAGAAGTCCCTCGAGAATCGCCTATTCCCTTACAGTGCTGCCAGACGGGGGCAAAGGTGTGGTATTAAAGAGTATGGGTAATGCTCGAGGTTATATTTTGAAGCCTGGAGCATATTATCATCGAGGAATAGTTACTCGTAGGAATGCAAAGACGGTGGCCCTGTATGTTGCTCACTGCCACATGCGGATTTGACTCGTCCTATTGGTCATACGAAAACGTGTGAACCAAACTTAGATAGCGTTAGTCTCTCGCCAGATTGAACTGAATATCTCAGAGAATGAAAATCTGAGTGCCGTATGATCTCTCATATAAAGTTTAGCCTTCCACACCGAACTGATCATCGTAAGACTTAAGCTGTTTCGCCAAAAGCGAGATCGATAAGATGAAAGGCGTTCATGATCAATAACATGTGGGCGCGTGCGACGAGCATCCCTTGCACGCATATGCTGTCTAAAGGCGCCTATCTTTTAGAGGGTGCTGTGACAGATAGTATAAGTAGAGTCATCACTTTCTCATGAACCTCATATATGAGGAAGGACATCAAAGTTCCCACCGTTATTCGTCGTTGAAAGGCGATGTTTGGGGTGGGTGCCATAGAAATCCTGTTGCCGAGTCGAATATGAGTTTCGGCGAGATAGTCCTCGAGATCCGATAGAGTCGAACTGGGCGATGGCATGCGACTCATCTCAGGGCAATCAGCGGACATGGGAGGTCTGCTTGGTCTGATGGTGTCGTCCAAGTGATTGACGACATTCTCAAGGACAAACTCGTGCGGTTCGGACAGGCAAAAAGGGGCTCTACGAGGAGTGGTATCGTCGGTATTAGAAGCATCATATGGATTTAATGGTTGATTTTGATCGGATAAAGCGTCCATTCCGGCCACTACAGTGTCGACTTCCGAGTAGTTGATCTCGTGATGGGCCTTAAGTTCACATGTATTTTCTTCTGTCGCTGAGGTCGACTTTGGATTATGAAAAAAGCTCAATCGGTCGATGCTTTATCGCTGTCGTTTCTGCGAGCCCTGTTAGTGTTTTGCATTTCCCTTGTCGAATGAGCCCGGCGCACTTCCCAGATGAGAATGAGTACTCAGACAAGTACATGGATGATACCTACGAGTACCGTCATGTTATACTCAACAAGCCCACGTATAGAGTAAGGGCGCTTCCTGGGGCTCAGCTAAGCTCATGTATAGATGCTACAGCGGTCGGTCCGTGGGTACTCTGCGTCGACTATATTAGAAGAAAACGAATGGAGGTCTGTGGGTGTTACACAATCTCGGGGTTGGGTACACTACGCTACACACAAACCAGAGCCCAATATCCTCCTATTTCGCCGGCCTTTGGGGACAAACCCGTTGTAAGTTTAGAAATGAACGCAATGGGGGTCCTTGAACCAGCTGCTGATATTGTAGATGCCTCAAAGGGGACTGTCTGTTTTAGGACTGGCAAAGTTGAGATGGTACCGCCCAGTCTGAGACGGGGCTTTTGATCAGCCAGAGTTGAACTTAGCTTTGCATGCGGGACCAGCGTTGGGTCAAATTGGTATGGCTCACCGATCAGGGTGGGAACAATTAACCAGTAGTTTGATGGAAGTTTCTTGTGCTGTAAATTGATGATGTTCAGTGTTGAAGTGGTCTTCGTCCGTTGAGTAAAGGTTAGTGTGTTGTGGTGACCTGTGCAGCAATCTTCCTGCCAAGATGCTGTTCTCGTGGGCGGGTACTGTCAGAGATTCTAGCTCAGCTGTATTGATGATTCATGGAGATGAAAAGGATAATATAGATGTACTTGAAATGTAACAGTGGAGTGCGACAGAGTTTAGGAGTTAGAGAATAAAAGTCACTACCCGGATTTGAACCGGGGTTGTCACGGCCACAACGTGACGTCCTAACCACTAGACGATAGCGACTTGGATGGAAGCTTTGATTGACGTGCTCATGCGTGCAAATACCGTGCTATATACCCACTTGAGCGTTTCAGGTACGCAATAACACCTGTTGGGGTCTCGTCTGAGTCATTCTTTGCATGACCAGAATTTTCGAGTCAGTGGGATACTCCACAGCGGGTATGTCTAATGAATGATTCAACAATGCTACCGCAACTCGGCTCGTGAACTACAATTTGTTCACATCACATCAAGTCTGGACCAGTTTCACACTACCATCTGATAGTGGAGTCGACTAGATGCCGAATAGTCGCTGTCGACTGAGTCGACAGCGACTATTCGAAACTTACTGGTTACTTCAACTTATATTCCCCATAAAATCTCCCGGTAACGGGCGGGATGTTTGTTCTGCGGGAAACGTCAATGAGTTGTTCACTTCCAAGTCAGTGAACGGCTCGCGTTCCCTTGCTACCTTCAAGCTGTATCAGTTGTTTTATGCACTTCCACGACACGCCATGGCCGACTGTTGAGCATCCTTCGTATATGCCGACATCATCCCTTTCGGTGGGCCACGGATTTGGTAGAGTACGCATCGATCCTACAGAGACCGGCTACCTTGCCCAGGAGGCCTTAGCAAAATTGAGGACCGCCGCAGTGAGCAACACTGATGACTTCTGCGCTTGTTTACACACTGCGCTCATTAGATTCTCATCAAGCAGGCCGGAATGCAGGCTACAGCTATGAACCAGCAGATCGCGACTGCAGTGAGGCAGGGAGAAATGGCAGCTCACGCGGCGAGGGCTCAGGTCGGGAGAGGCGCCGACTGGAGGTCTCTCAATTGGTGTAGCGCTTCAGGTGGCAGAGCACATTGGCGCGACTAGTCCTGGAGATGCGGGATGGTATGTTGAGAGGCTTGCGAGGTGTTGTGCGTATGTTTTCAACGAAACGTGTTTGCATAGAGCAATCGTATCCTTATTAGTTATAGAGTCCATTAGTTATACTATTTGCAAACTGATGCGCTTAACGATCACAGTTCTTTCAAGGCAATTTCCATGGCAATTTTGTCCCGATCGCAGTGTGATGTCGCAAGAATACTCTGTCGTTGTCGTAGTGCGCTACCACCAGAGGAAGTCAGAGATTTCCTGAGGGCTCACAACACACTGCCGTTCGACTGGTCGCTCCCTCCACCTACTAGTGGCCACACTCCTGCGGTTGGCGTTACGCATGTCAAGTCGGATTATGCACCCACTGCTGTAGCTCGTCATTTCCATCATCATCAACACCAGCGTCACCATTCGCATCACCATAAACATGCACTGATGTGATACATTTCTCATAAGGTGTGTTGTGTTTACGAGTGACCAGTCCAGAACGGATCTTCACAATAAAGCCAACACGTCAGGAGACGGTTCGCACAGCGTAATGCTGCGTCACATATGCTCGGAGTCGGTAGCGTTGCATTATAACTTTCGCCCGCGTCAAGTTTTGTGTGACAGGAGTCGGGGAGTCACCACCTCGGGGATCCTTTTTTCGGGCGACGAGTTTTGAGTTACGACTATAACTTATAGTCGAAGTGTGTTGTTGAAGCACTTGTGATGGCTAAGGAACTTTTTATCGCTCCTATCCCTACTGTGCCTAGAGCTCTGTCCCTATTCGCTTGTTCGTTGCTGTGAACCCGAAAAACGAAACATTGGAGGCATCAAGTACTGTTGTCGGCAAATTCACATACGCTGTTCAATGGGACCAAATACTCCTGTAAACCATCCATACTCTTGCTGATCACCGACGCTTTCCCCTGACGGGCGTGTCGGGATTTGAGCGAAACTACAGCCCCCACAGGTAAATTGTGCACCGAGGGTAGAACGACCTCGAGGTTCCTGAAAGGGGATAAGATACCTCTCGAGAGATAGGGTAATGCCTTACCTGCCAGGCGACTTGCTCACCACCGTCTCGACTTGTCGTATTTCGATGGAAGCATTAGCACCAGAAGCGATGATCTTGCCCGTGCAGACGTCCTTAGCGCACTCCTTGACAACCATTTTCTGGCGGAAGTGTTCAGAAGCCTTGTCTCGCACACGAACAACTAGGCCTGGTTTCACCCAATTGTATTCTTTTGTGAGATCTACCACGACATCAGGTGACTCCCCTCGCCGATGATCAGTAGAGGCGCCGGAATCTCCTCGTGATGGAGGAATGTAGCGGCGCTTTTTACAGCTGGGCTGAGGACTTCCACCTGTTCTCCGTTCTCGAAGCTCGCGTGCTTTCAGATCAAAGGCAGTTTCAGCAGCAGTGCGTTTCAAATCTGACGAGTATAACGTCAAAATGAGCAAGAACTTTATATGAGATTTGCTACCAGCTGCGGCGGCTTTGAGATCTCGATGATTGGTAGTGGAAATGCTACGTTGGAGGAACTCAGTATTGACCGGAATTCTCCCCTCCT